CACAAGGGAATTTAATCTATATAATGCATGGAGAAAGCATATAAATATCAAAATGAAATTAACATGAGGATATTGGTTTAGAAATACCACATGTGGACACCAATTTGATTTCTACCACTTGCAATAGGTGGTGGATATTTGAAGTATGATGCTTAACTCCGGGGACTCTATTTTCCTTGCAATGAGACTACTACACACATGATAAGCTTGAAAAGGTGTTAGTCTCAAAGCATCCAACTTGTAGAGTAACCCCCTCCTAAATTTATGCACACAAGTATGGAATACTTGTAGGAAACATGCCCATTGATTTTAGAATAAAAAATACCACTTTGAAAGATGACATCGCATGAATGTGAGAGTCATTTTCGAAAGCGATATTTGGGAGAGATTGTCTACAATTTGGACTTTGGCACATATTAGATGAACAATTCAAAGACAAGCTATGTGCCATGCTCCTAAACAATTTTAAACCATATAGGTTTGCTCCAAGGGTTAAGAATAAAACCGAGTAAGCCTACCATAAGATATACCTAGTGTATGCATGACAAAAGATATAAGCATGCAAATGCAAACCTAGGCATGAAAAGTAACTAGATGTTTAAAGATACCACTAGTAGAAAATTAAATCTAGTACCATTTGAAGAAAATTGAATCTAGTTACCTAACATGGGAAGGGGAATTTGGGTCCATAGTATTCACTAACCCACTTGACAATGATCTTGTCCATCATGATGCACCCCATGAAATGCACCTATACTTTGCCAAGTTTTCAAATTCCCCAAAGTCCATCAGACTTCTCACTTCCCTTTCAGGATCCAAACCTTCTTGGTGCTCTTCATATTGGAAATAATTTCCTTTGACACCCAAAAGCGTTTGACCCCATTGTTGGCTTGCTTTTTCACCTTGATGGCCACCACCTTATTATTTTTCTTCTTCTTTAACAAGTATGGTGTGGAGGCCTTCTTGTCCACCTTGTTGGTGTAGGTGTTGGAGAGCTTGCTTGTTTGCTTCTTCTCTTTCTTCTTTGCTCCTTCCCCATTCTTCACCTTGCACTCATAGGACTTGTGACCTTCCTTGTGGCACACGTAGCAAACCACAGTTTGTCCTTTATCAAGCTTCTTCACTCCCTTAACGGTGTTATCTTGATGAAGTTGGGCTTGCTTCGCCTTACCTTTCACTTGAGTCAAGTTCTTGGTGAGGCGGGCTACTTCTTGCTTGAGTTGCTCATTCTCCTTTGCAACCTTTTTGTGTGCATGCATCTACAATAACTTTCTCAACACAAACTTGGTTGCACAAAGATGAGTCTAAATATAAATCATTACAAGAAGTAGAGGCATCCTTTTTAGACATGTTAAAGATAGAACCTTTTCTTTTAGATGCCTTGGTGGGGGTTGTACTCATGGCTTCAAGATTAGCAACTTTATTAGTTAGCTCATCACAATGTTTGCACATGATTTCCATTTTAACAAGCAAACTTTTATAAGAATCTTGTGAGCTAGCTAACTTTTCTTTTAATTTTTTATTTTTCTTTACAAGTTGCTCATTATTGATTGTGCATGCATTTGTTGTTGCACTAGCCTTAAGTTGCTCAATTTTAGTGGATAGTTCAACATTGAGATTAGCAAAGTTCTCATATTGTTCAAGCAAGGTTTTGTATAATTCTTGTGAACTATCTATCTTTTCTTTTAATTTTTCGAGCTTCTTTTGTTGACTAGTGCAAACTTTAGCATAATTAAGATTTTGTTGCATAATTTCATCATAAGAAGACATTTCATCATCACTATCACTCTCACTAGAGGATGAGCTTTCGTTATCTCGTGCCATAAGGCACATACGAGAAGAGCTTGATGATGAGTGCTTGCGCCCTCGCCTCTTGTGATGGTGTTCTTCTTCACTTGAAGAATCATCCCATGACCTTATTGATGTGAGGGCCTGGTTCTTACATGTCTTCTTCTTTGTCTTGGGTGTGGGCTTGTTTAGACAAACTTCCATAAAGTGCCCCAACTCGCCGCATCCATAGCATCCTCTCTTTCTTTACTCATTTCTTTGATTGGTAAAAATAATATCTTGGATTTGGATGGGCACACCCTTGACATTGAGCCTTTGGATCATCTTTTTACCTTGTTGATTAGTTTGATTGATTCTTTATTAAGGTCGGAGGTGGAGGAGGAAGATTAATCATCTTCACATGAATCATCATCATCGTCATCATCGTCCTCATCTTCTTCTTCATCTTCACTTGAGGAGCTTGAGCTTGAGCTTGTCTCAACTTGCTTGCCCTTCATCTTCTTTTTCTTGCTACATGTGAGAGCTTTGCCTTTGCTCGATGAAGAGGCTTCGTCTTGACCCATCTTACGTGATATTTCAAATGCCACTATCTTACCAATGACTATGCCCGAGGTCATGGTGCTCAAGTTCTCCATGTTGTGAAGAATGGTGATGATACTTGCATATTTCTTTTGTGGTAGCACGGAGATGATCTTCCTCACGATGTCCGCATCATCTAGCTTTGTTAATTCTATTTAATGGAGCTCATTGATAATTAGATTCAAACGAGAATACATATCATGAACAAGCTCATCATCATTTATTGTAAAGGAATCATAATTTTGTTTAGCTAGACAATATTTTTGCTCACGAACATTAGATGTGCCGTCGTGGAGCTCTTGGAGTTTTAACCAAATTTCATGTGCCGTATTTAAAGTAAACACTTGGTTAAACACATCCATGCTAAATGATTCAAACAAGCAATTCTTAGTTCTAGCATTGAAATGCATTTCCTTTTCTTCACTTTTTGTGGGTTTATCGGGATTCTTAATGGGTTTCATCCCATCACGAGTGACTCTCCAAACACCCAAATCAACCGCCTTAAGTTGACAAGCCATTCTAACTTTATAGTAAGGGAAGTTAGTGCCGTCAAAGTGTGAAGGCCTAGAGATATCCATCTCAACCACTCTAAATTGCGTCGACTCAACGACGGTTAAGCCAAAGGTCCAAATTGAGCCAACCGGCTCTAATACCACTCGTAGGGGACCGTGACGCCTAAGAGGAGGGTGAATTAGGCAACTTAAAATTCTAACTCTAAACTATGGCATCTTTTTCTAACCTTAGCAAAACCTATGCAAAAGATAAACTATTTAAATGTGCAACTACGGTTTTGCTAGTATATTGCTATCTCTACCGCAAACGGAGTAATACAATCAATGTAAATGCGGAAGCTAAAAAACAAGGTAGAGATATACAAACTCCCGTCGATGACTCTGGTATTTTTACCGAGGTATCAAGAAGCACGCAAGTTTCCCCCTAGTCCTCATTAGAGCCTCTCGCAAGGAATCCCTCGCAAGGGCCAAGCTCCCGATCGGGTAACTCCATGGATAGCCTCGGGCCTTTTCCACGCGCAAGTGGGTCTCCGACATACCTTTCGGCAAGCCTCTCCCGGATGCTCCCCGCCGTCTTCACTATCAAGCTTCCGGTCAAAACACCGTGGGCCTTATTTCTTCCGGTATACGGTGACGGCCACACCACAACCGCAGTTGGTGTGATCTCGCAAGACTACAAGCCCCTCCGGTGTACAACAATGGTGCGCACAAGCACCGAGTGGTAAGAGGTATGCAAACCTCACTAAACACTTGGCCTAAACCTAGAGCAAGCGCATAAGCGGTGATCTAATCAACATAAGCACTTCGCAAAGCACCTACGCTAATCACCTAATGAATCACTAAGCACTATGCAAGTGGAGATCATTAAATGGTGTATCAACACCCTTGATATGTTTTCTTAGCTCCACACACTTCATTTGGTCGGTTGGGGATTGTATTTATAAGCTCCACTGAGAAAGTAGGCGTTGGGAACGAAATCCCGCTTTTCTGCTACTGACCGGACGCGTCCGGTCTTCCCGACCGTTGGAGCCGCGATCAACTGATCGAACGCTGCCAGCGTCCGAAACATGCCACCGGACACGTTCGGTTATAATTTCGCTGCTCTGGAACCTCTCTGTACTCGACCGGACTCTGTTGTCCTGCGTCCGGTCGATTTGCTCATTCAGCGTCCGGTCGCTGCTGCTGCCGAGCCTCTTGATCGGGCGTCCGGTCACTGTGCTACCAGCGTTCGGTCACCCCTGTGAGCTCGTTTCTTCGCGATTTTGCGTCCGGCTTGGTTCATATCTTCATGTTTGGACTTTACTTGATATCTTGGGTCTTCTCTTGTGTTTCTAAGGTCTTGCTTACGGTGTTGATCGTCGGATCATCACGTCGCCTTCGTCCAAGTCACGTCTTGCACCCTATTGAACTACACAACAATCACTTGTAAATTCATTATTCCAATTTGATTGTGTTGGTCATCAAACATAAAAATCCAAAATAAATAGGCATAGGATCCATTTTCCTTGACATGGCATAACCGAACAATCTATGTTTTTCTTTACACTATAATAGATAGCGTTGCTTTCTAATTACATTAACATTGCAGGTCGGCTTGCAGCTCTGATATGATCATTGAACCAAACACCACCTAAGTTCCTACCATGGAAGCACAAGTAGGAGGAGCTTGAGCGTGTTCTCAAGGTTGGAAACGAAAGAGAGCGTGACCCCTTTCTTTTTTAACACAAAGAGAGCCGTGACCTGTGACTTGCCTTCCTGTATTCTGCGAAAGAGAGACGCGATTTGGGCTAGCAGATCAATGACTTGTTGCCTCCTTCTATTATGGCCACGACTTGGGCCTCCCTCTATTTTGGCCCATGAGCAAGTAAGTAACCCACCCGGCCTCTCTCTCTCACATATCCCAAATCCAGCCAGAAGCCCACACGACTCCCGATCCTATCGGTTAGCGGTGGCCTCACCGGCGGCTATCCGGATTTGACTTGCGGCTGCCGCCGCCCGCCCGCCTTCGGCCGTGCTCGCCCACCCCAATCTCCGGGCTCACTACTACCAGAGACTTCCTTGAATCGTCGATGAGCGCCCAAGCGAGCCCGTGACGGTTGCTTCGAAGCTCCGTTCTACGCCATGCTCGCCGCCGCCGCCACGGCGGTGGCCGTCCCTCCCGCGGCTTCTTATTGTTTTCTGGCAAATAATGCCAGGTACGGCGGGTGGTTCTTGAACCAGCCTTTTCCTTTTCTCAGGGAGATGTTCCTTGATGAAAATTCGTTTGTAATTATTCTGTCACAGGAAATGTAGGATTTCCTGGAGCTGTCGGGCGGCAAGAGTCGAGGCTGGGTACTCCCAATTGGAGGTGCGCATTGACCTATTTCGCTGCATTCTTTTGATTTTTTTTTAGAGTTGGGGTGCTCCCAATTCGATCTAGTAATTCAGGTATGCTAAGATGGTGTTTGGTGTGAGTGGGCTGGTGTTTACTCCCAGAGAATACCAAGTTGTGGAATGTAGGTGAGCTTTGGATCTTCAGTTGCACCAAATATCCGGAGGTGTGCCTGGAACACAGATTTGTTTTAATTTTACAACAACCTTTGGCATTTTAAGGATAGGTGTGGCAATCAGATTGCTCAGGTCCAATAAAGAACCAGTGTTGGGAATCGTCATGCATGACTTAATAGCTTACCACATTGCTTTCACAGTTTGGTGTTCCTAAATCCCTCCAATGTTGCATACAATGCATCATGTTACTCTTTTTGTCTTTTCTGCTAGAAGTTCGCATGACTACATACATCTAGAAAAAGAGTCTTCCAGCTAGTAGCATCTGCACAATATCCCATCCTAAATATACAGTTCGTCCTTTTAAATTGATTATCAAATAAATTGAACCACAATTTCTTTCAGGTGAGAAAAGTCACCTATCGACCTCCTGGAACTGAACAGAACTTGTTGAAAGAAATTAACCTCTCTCTTCGGGAGAAAAGGCAAGCATATTTGACCTGGCTTAATTATATTTCTGGTGGCTTTTATTTATTATATACCTAAGTCTGTATTTGTGCAGTTTTGGTTTGATATTTGGACGGAGTGGGAGTGGAAAGACCACCCTTTTGCAGGTGCGCATTGAAGTGCTGCATAACATTACTAAATTTCCTTGTGATCTGTCTTCCATAGTTCCATCTTAAAGTAAAATCTTGGTTTCACAGCTTTTGGCTGGTCTATCAGAACCTACCTCTGGGTCTATTTGCATTCAGAAGTATGATGATGCTGGGAATCCTATTGGCTTGCCTGAACTGCTAACTTCTCAACGAGTTGGAATTGTATTTCAGTTTCCTGAGAGGTTTGAACTACTGCTTTCATGAAAGTTATGCAAAAGTGGACATGCATACCTATAAACTGTGGTGGTTCAAAAGTTTACTGAACATAAGGACTATCATCATCTTGTTGTAGGTATTTCTTAGCAGATACTGTACTTGAAGAAGTTACTTTTGGATGGCCTAGGCAAAAGGCGGACCTCCTATTAAAAGAACAGCTCGCTTTAAATCTTCAAAATGCCTTTAACTCAGTAATGCTTACCTCACAAAATTCTATGTGCCTAATGGAACACCTTTACCATTTTTAGATTTACGAAATTTCTTGAAACACAAATTCTTTTGCAATTTAACTTGATGTCATGTGAAACATACTAGGTTGGTCTGACAACCATCTCATTAGATGAAGATCCACAAGCTCTAAGTGGTGGATTTAAGAGGCGACTTGCTTTAGCAATTCAACTGGTATTATACTTTTTTGGTTTACTACGAGTTGATGTTCAATCTCTCCACTTTATTGTTTTTTGGCCGTGTCCGTAGCTTCATGGTAGTGGCCTGGTGGTTTTGGTTGTCGACCTTATTTTTTTCTATCGAGTTTGTTAAGCCTCTATCTTTTTTTAATTTTCTATAGGTTCAAACTCCTGATCTGTTGCTGCTTGATGAGCCACTTGCTGGTCTAGGTATGTGATTATATATTAATCAGATCAATTGTACATGATTAAATTACTATATTGATCAGATCAATCATTGAACATCGCTTCAAAAGTTCAAATCTTGTTCACTCATTCATCTCTGCATGTGCGCAATATCATCTCCGTTACCTCTTTCTAGGATTCGCGTTAAGAATCAAACAATATGCTGAAATTCATATATTTGTAGTGGACATGTTTACTAACTTCATATTTTAAATCTCAGATTGGAAGGCTCGGGCTGATGTTGCGAATCTCTTAAAGGACCTGAAGAAACACCATACCATACTGGTTGTAAGTCACGATCTAAGGTAATTTTGAAGGGCGGGCCTGGTGCAAGCGGTAGAGTCTTACCGCCTGTGACCGGAAGGTCCCGGGTTCGAGTCGCGGTCTCCTCGCATTGCACAGGCGAGGGTAAGGCTTGCCACTGACACCCTTCTCCAGACCCCGCACAGAGCGGGAGCTCTCTGCACTGGGTACGCCCTTTTCTACAGTAAATGGGAGAGAACGTTTTCTATTTGTATGCCACATGAAGAATAGCAAAGCAAATGGTTGAGAACAACAAAGTAAATGATTTATGAACCAAGCTGGTCTTTCTGTGCATCCATTCTGCTGAAAGGAAACAGCTTCTAATGACACAGATAACTGTCAAATTGCCTTATTCAACATAATTTGCAGGGAACTATATCCACTAGTGGATTACTCATGGCGAATGGAAATGGGGGGAAGTTTGAAGGAGGAAGCTTTGCCTGTGTAAACATGTGCTTGTCGGTATAGCTGTCAGACATGGTGGCATGTACATATTGGTCATCCGAATCTAGTAAGATCAACTACTTTTGAACTTATATTTTGTCAGCTCAGAAATTTCTTGAAGATACAATGGAGTCAGAGGTGGCTGTGAATGAGTTATTTGGCAATACATGGTGACTTGTGCAGATGGAGAATCAGCAGATGAAAAATGCTAGAAAAATTCAATAGAGGGATCACGAATGTTAGTTCTGAACTTTGACTGCTGAAATGGAGAACAGTCTGTGATGTAGACATTGTCGAGGTACCGTGATCGTTGAACAGTGCTATTGAAATTTGGATTCAGGATCTAGGGATAGCTCCTTTGTTGCACACATTCATAGCAAGGGTTGCAGAAGGCCTGTACACTTTGAAAGGTGGGGTCAAAATGATGCTGATGATGGTTCGCAAATGATACTTTGTTGACATTTACACTGAAGAGATTCAGAGAACATCATTTACTTGCACTATCAATAGTCAGCATCATTCACAATTTGTTGTTTCTTACAAACTTATTTGTCTGGAAGAATATATGACGCACATGTAGATTTTTCCTCCAAAGATCTTTGACCTGCTGTTACCACCACTTCTCTCTATGGCTTCTGAACATGGGAGGAGCAATCTCAGTCATATATGAGCCTTGGTTCAAAATGGTGAGCAAAATTCTCTTCCCATTGTAAATCCAAGCATACATTTTGTGCTTAGCACGGTATGCTCTTCTTATGCTTCAGCTTCAAGCCGTTTTTATATATATACAATATTCAAAAGTCGTGTTGTAAATGGGTAGTCACTTTTTACAAACAAAGTAACCTACTGAGGGTTACTTGTGCCACATGGTGCCGTTCGGCTGGTCACAAAAGCCGGCTTATTCGGCTTCTTTTTTCAGCCGGAACAGCGTTTTTTCTCACGACAATTTAGCCAGAACAGTGCTTTTCAGCCAAATTCAGCCCAGCGAACGGAGCCTGCAATGTCCATGCGTGTTCAAAACAAGAAACTTTTCTTTGCCTTCTAGACTCCAGCTGTCGCCTTCGTAGCTCATCTTTTTCCAACCATTGTAAACCCCACGTGTTTAAGTACTGTATTTTTTATTGATCCGGGGACTCTGAATGCTATGCAAGTGATGCTATCCAAGATCCCTGTAAAGAAGCCAACGGATCTTTGCAAACAGGACACCTCTGCTGGTCCATTCGAAGCTTCTGTCAGGAAGGCTCCAGGAAGCTGATCGAGTTGGAAAGATTTGTTGGTTGATCGGGTCACTCTGCCTGCTGGACAGATTGGTGCTGTGTTTTTTTTCCACATGAAAGGACCTTGCTACCTGTTGGTCAATACTTTATCATTTTCCTTGTGCTGCTTTCCTTTGGTCTGTTGAGGCTTTGGACATGTCGGCGTCAGCTGTCAGATCAGTACAGGTAACCTTGTGACTTTCGAAAGAAATTACCAACGGTGGTTACATGGAGATAACCCAGTGTCCATCCAGTTATATTGTTGCCGGTTTATGTGGTCTACTTAGGAGCTCTGTTTAAGTAAAAACATCGCTTTATGTGGTACATGTACCTTGTCTTAACGGTTAAGAAAGTAATAAAAAAATTAGGTCATGCCATGTTCTTTGGGTACCTTGAATATTAGTAAAATGGATAGATGTTTCTCAGAGATGCGATTACCTCATGTATAGACGTATATCTGAACACCAGAAAATTGTATGAACAAATATGTTGCGCCAAGAAAATGCTTCTAAGATTACAGCTTAGTATTGACTTTATTCAGTTGGTAAATTGGCAAGGCTTTATGGTGAAAACTGTGTTAGAAGAAACTTGAAACAAATCTCAAGGAGTAAGGACTGAACTCAGTCGAGTAGCATATATGACCTACTTTCAGAATCCTGATAAAAAGTAGAAACGTGGCCTATTCATTGCATTCACCTGGTAGTCTATTTCTTAAATACAAAGTAGGTAATTTTATTTGCAGAAATCAGCAAGGTAGGAAACTGCTGCTTTTTATCTGAAAACCAGGTTCTCCGACAGCGAAGAACTTGCGTGGTTTTGGATCCGGTTACGGTTTCAAAGACCATATATGTTCCGGCTTAAAAAAATGACGAATAGATCAATAATATGTTTCCTCAATCCTCATCCATCTAGTAAGATGTTACTCCCTGCTTTCAAATTGTGGCTTTGTTCTGAATCATTTTCTAGTTCTGACCAAATGTATAGAAAAATAAATCAATACTATTTACAGCACTTAATTAGTTTCATTCAATCCATCATGCAATATGTTTTCAGAGTGCACTTATTTTGTATTGTAGATGTCAATATGTATTTCTAATCTTATATAAACTTAGTCAAAATTATAGAAGTTTGACTTAGAACAAAATAAAAATGACATGATTGAAAATGGATGGAATACCATATATATCTCTATCTGTTTAGTAGTACAATTGTGGGCATGGCACAATTGTGGTCACTATCGGTATATAAGGAGCACAATATGAAAAGGGACAGATCACAGATGAGCCTGACGGGAAGGGTGAACCAGGCCACTTGAAACTAAACTAGCCTCTCTACTAGTCCTAATCTTTACAGAACAATTTATTCATGTCAGTACGGAAAGTGCGCAGCCGACCCAAGAGGGTGAGGGGTTGAAGTGAATTGGGTCGCAAAAAACTTTACACTACTACACTAACTTTTTTCGAAGTAGGCCAAATGCTTTCAAAAGTAGACCACCAAATATGTTGGAGTTAACTAAATTATTTTTGGAGGGCTACCGATGCTATACTAGTCACAATGGCTAATCTTTATGTGGTGGAGCATGGCACCTGTGAGGTTAATTGGTGTTGTCTTCTAGATCTTATTTTTACTCGTAGTATTGTATGGTTCTCTTGGTTAATCTCGAGTATGATATAGTGCCAAATGATGATTTGAATAAGTAATGGATATCATTACAAGCTATAAAACAAGGAATATGAACGAATAAAATACCATTAATAACTCCAAATAAAAACCATATAATTTTTTTGTATTGGATTAATATTTTTGTGATTCAAATGAATTAGTATGATTTTTTAAAAACAAACCAGTTCTCATAAAGTGCAAACCACTTTTGAAACCAGCTCATGGCCTAATTGGCCAGGTATTAATTGATAGTAGAGTAGTGGTAAAAAATTTCTGATTTTAATGTTGTATGCTAAAAACAAACTCAAAAAATAGTTGACTGGCCAAAAATTGACGTTTCCCTTATATATAACAGTAATACTTCATATGGATCATCAGCAACAACATCAAAGTGGGCATGCACGGTCAATTACTTGCTAACTTCAATTTACGCAAGCTAACGACTTTCTATGCCTTCTATAAAAACTGGACAGGACAACACACCACCCTACGACTCCTAATAACTCGACATATGAGTGTATGATATGACTATATGATATGAATCGTTTTATTATTGTAAAGAAAAAAAGAACACAAGAGCTATGGAGAAGCACGTTTGCTGATGAATGGGTTGCCCACTGCGCGCGGCACCTCAAAAATGTCATCATGTCAGTCTTATGGAATCCCCTACTAACCAGCTAAACTCATAGGAGATGGGAAAGTTGAAGTTGTTACAATCCAAGGATCACAAACTGCGGAATACTGGATATGGTTTTAAAAAAAGTTGGCTGGTTTTTGGAAGTAATTCCCTAGCAAGCGTTTACCAAAACCCTAGAACTTGACTAACAAATGTGGATAATATAAGAAACCATCTTAGTCGTCACAAAATACGTACGTGGACACATATGTTGGGATATATGCATGCATTCTATGTGGTTCTAGTAAAAGATAAGGATAAGATCTTGACTATGAGTTATCGAAACTCTCTGCATGCAACAGATGCGTTAGCTCATAGGATAAAAGTTAAAAAAAGCCATGCATACTTGTCTAAAACAATTATTATTATTAACGACGGTTGAATACTTCAACGAAATAGTCAGGCACCTATTATTTGATGCCAGCCTGGTTAGTTCCATATCCTTGCCTGTGCCCTGTGGCATGCAAGGAATGGTCACCTAATATTGATTTAATTTCATTTTTGTTGGACCATTTCCCCAAGAAAATTCTGCACGGTCTCAAAATTCTGGAACGGGGTAGCGTACGTATATGGTGAAAACTACTGTGCTTTGCCAACTAGGGACACCGGATACAGATCCTATTTAGGTGGTGTTTGCATTGGCAGGGTTCCTCACGAGGGAACTCCTCCGGAGGAGCAAGAGCCATTTTGGAGGAGTCGTAATTTGTTGCTCCTCTGTTTGCACCTCCAAAACGGCTCCAGCTCCTCTGTTTTTCGCTGAAAAACGGCTCCTTCAGCAAAACGTTTGGCAAGGCTCTTCTATTGGAGCCGGAGCGGGAGCCAGAGCTGGAGAGAAGCCCTGTCAAACAGATCCTTAGTTATTGCAGGCTGTAGCTACAGTAGAGACGGCATTAGCGCTAGATCTGAGCTTTTTTACATCCAAGAATTAGAGGCTCTTGGTCTTATTCCCATCTAGGTCTCACCACAATAATCATCCTTCGGAGGAGCAGCTATATTACCAGTAGTTCAGCACTCGCTTGTCTCGCCTGCATGATGACCAGCAACTTGCCATCTCCAGTTTCTCCTTTTTGCATTAATATTTTCATCTCTAATCGAATGCACCCTCCTTCCTCTTCATTTGAGGTGCATTAACCAATTTGCACTGATTTATAATGCTTTACCTATTCCAGTTCAGGAACTGGAGCAAGTGCATATGTGAGTCCTAGATATGAGCTGATGCCACCTCTTCAACACATATTGTAGCAGAACCGTCTAATTTATAGGAGCACAAGTACAGTAGCAACCCGTAAACGATCGCACTGTCATATTTAAACCCATATAAACCTGGTAGTCCATCGAGTACCACGAATGGTCTCGATTCAACCAACATACAACCAAGATCTTACATGATTCAACATGCATATCACACGTTACATAAAGTTCACAAATACAGTTCCATACATCAGAGTACGATTAAAGGTTATTATAAACCAAGTTCAAGTAAAATAGTAGCGAAAGCAAATAAAGTTGAAACCAACATCTGTCATCACTGTTCAAATACGGTGTCAGCTCATGATCACATTTCCACAAAAGCATAAGAGAGGGATTAACAAGAAATGCCTTGCCCAGGGCCCTACTCCTCATCCACGGCA